AAGGCAAACAGCCACTGCCGGCCATGGCACACAATATGAATCATAAAGAACAAGCTCCCCCTGCCGGCCATGAGGAACAACCCCCTAAGCAGGATATCCGGCTCCCAATCGGTCACCGTTTCGACTCTCCCACAAGAGCCGTCACGAAGTTCTCTCTAGTTCAATCACAGAAGCACGCCTTAGGTCTTCTCGTTAAAATCTGGCTTGTTATAGCTGGTCTTTATCGCCGAGCGTCTCTATTCGACGATGCCCGTGAAGCTTGCGAAGAAGCTTCAAAACAAGCCGCGCGAGTGGAAGCACTTGTTGCGTCACATGAATCCTCAGCTCGTTCTTTTAGCAAGCGTGGCTGGGGTGCTTCAAAGAGCTCTGAGGAGCTCTGGGCTGATGTCTACGCGGAACAGGGTCTCTTGTCCCAGGCTCGATCGAACCCCCATCAGGCCATCAGGCACTTCGAGGAAGCGCTGCTGCGCTACCAAGACCACCCAACGGCGACAATTGGACTTGCCAATCTTCTCTTGGACATTTGGGATCAGAAATTGACCCCAGAGCCATTGAATGCCGACGTAGATCTTAACGCCTCGCGTCTGTCATTACTGTCAGAGACCCCCAAGCCCCAGTCCGCGAAGGCTATCTCAACCGACGATCCCAAGGTATCAAGCAAGACCGAAAATGTGGGCCCCGAAGATGCCCCTCTATCTGCACAAGATGTCGAGCCTAAGCAACTGCACCGCCTCGCGGCCCGCGATCGGGCCTATGGGCTTCTTTCGGCGTTGACAAAGCTCGGGAGCTCCTGGGACAACTCCGAGGCATGGTATGCCTTGTCGAGAGCATATGAGGCTGGTGAGCAGGTCGAGAGGCTGAAAGAAGTGCTTTGGTGGTGCATTGAACTGGAGGATCGACGGCCAATCCGGCACTGGTCTAATATCGGCTCCGGTGTCTATGTCCTCTAATTCAGGCCAAAAAAAAAAAAAGCTGTATCTTCTTGTATCTACTTCATTTGTGCCCCCCCCCTCTAGCAACGGATTTTATTTTTCGACGAGATGTCTTGTTTATACCATGAGGGCTATCACTGCAAATCTCATTGAAGCGCAATCTTGAAAACGGACTTTCTTCGTAAAAAAAATAAGCACTACTAGCAAAACGACTTTATATACATTTCCCAAATCGACAAATGAGTTGTCAATGGGCTGAAAAGGGAGAACGGGAACAATTAAACAGCAAGACAAGTGGATTGATTCTGCTACTGCAAATAAATCTACCGCGGAGCAGCGGTGGGAGTCCAGGCAGTGATCTTGGGCCGGGTGCTAGAGTAGCGTTAGTCGATACACGGGAAAGAGAAAAATATCGCACACAGATGCATTGCACGTACGTGGAGTAAGTCTTGAATGCAGCGCGGCTCAGAGTTGGGTTGGGGCGGTGGTCAGACAGCTCCCAGGGACGGAAACCGGACTGCATGACCTTGTCGGCGGTTGGGGGCCCGTCAACGAGGTAGGAGATCCACGCGTGCCTTAAAATAATCAGTTCCACATCATCTCAGGTACATTGTGAACCCAATATTTCGAGAGAAGCTCTTACCAGCCAGGCTCAATGTGGGATGCGTCGTATTCGGCCTCCTTGTAGTCGACCCATCGTGTTCGGACTAAACGGGGAAGTACCATTAGAACTTCATGTCTCAATGCGATAATATGAGCTGAAGAGTCTTCTTACGAGGCAATTCCTCCAGGTTCTCGAAGTATTTGTTACCGAAGCGGTCGGTTCCGATCAGAGTTCCAGCCTTGGTATCACCTGTAAGAGCGTGTTGTTAGTCAACTTCTGTGTAGACATCTATGGAGTGGGCATTGTACCAATGTTCTATATCACAGCGAATAGGGACATAGGTTAGTCTCAAGCTTATTCAATTGACCTGCTGTTCCGGGAGAGGCGTCCGTAACCGTACCTGCATCTGGTGGGCGGCATCCTGTACAAGCGTATTAGCACCCGAGTTTCTATAGATAATAGATCGCAGTTATACGAACCTTGAAGCCGACCCGGCGAAGGTTGCGCAGCGTCCTCACGATAGTCGACATCTTTGCTGGTATATTGTGCTAGAGCGAATGGGATGCGAGAGATTGGCGATTTGAGGTTGCAGGAGGGCGGTGTGTTTGCATTGTTTGCACCCTGCTTTGCCATGGATATCCCGATTCAGAAAACCCTCGACCTTGGATATTCAAACATGTTCGGTCGCATTAGAGGGCAAACGCTTCGTTGCGCTGGGTATCGCCCAGCTGCACGTCGGAGACTGTCTGCCCGTCAATTTTCTGCGCATACCGGTACAGGAGCTACGACTGCAGCATCAGCTCCTTCACCTCTGGCAGCAATCACTGCGGAGCTAGACCGCATTGCTCCCCGGTTCGAGGTGCCTGCGTCTCAGATTCATATCATTGACTCTCCGGCCAATTTCTACTCTACATTGAAGGTGTGGTCTGTCCTATTGCTCTTTTCGAAAAAAATTGGAATTAACTCCCAGTTCCGCAGAATAAAATCCGCAATGCTCGGCGGCGCATTTACCTCTCTACATTGTACATCGGCAAGGCAGAACACGATCTTGTCGACACCTTGAGCCAGGCTCTCCGCAGTAACCCAGATCTCAAAGTTTCTATTCTCACGGATGCTCTGCGTGGCACACGAGAGACCCCGAATCCTTCATGCGCATCGCTCCTTTGTTCGTTGGTTGAAGAGTACGGACCTGAACGAGTCGAGATTCGGATGTTCCATACTCCCAATTTGACGGGCCTAAGAAAGAAGTGGATTCCTTCACGCATCAACGAGGGCTGGGGCTTGCAGCATATGAAGTTGTACGGGATAGACGACGAGATCATTCTATCGGGGTATGTTATCTACGGACCGGCGCAAACGTGGGATATTAACATATTCGCAGAGCAAATCTATCCGAGGAATACTTCACCAGCCGCCTAGACCGATACCATGTGTTCGACTCCAAGGTATTGACCGAATACTACGCTGGAATTCACCATGCAATCTGCAGTCTGAGCTTCCAGGTTCTGCCGGATCCTCAAAACAAATCCAGCTATATTTTGGACTGGCCTTCCACAAACAAAGCCCCGTCTCCTCTTGACGATCCTCAAAAATTTATTGCATATTCTTCGACATTCCTGAGCCCGATCATTCAAGCTTCTGACAACAAACCTGCACTTCCCTCCTCATCAAGTCAAACCTACGTCTACCCTGTGTCGCAGTTTACTTCTCTCATGCAACCTAATGACACATCTACCGAATACCCTGCCGTGACGACCATTCTCCATCTCTTGTCAAGCTCATCAGTCTTTGCCGGTGCCCGTTGGCTCTTCACAGCAGGTTACTTCAACATGCACCCTGTCTTTTCCTCCCTCCTAATTTCCAGTACAACCACCGCCTCGAAGACTCCTACCACCACGAAAGGTACCGTTCTCACCGCCTCACCATGGGCAAATGGATTCTTTGGCTCCTCTGGAATCTCGGGGATGCTACCAGCCGCATACACGCATCTCTCTGCCCGCTTCCTTGATCGCGTCGCCGACGCACACGCCACGGAATCCGTTCAACTGAAGGAGTGGCGTAAGGGTACTGTTGGTACGCCAGGCGGATGGACCTACCATGCCAAGGGTCTGTGGATTACACTGCCGCGCGAAGAACACCCCAGCCTCACCTTCGTCGGTAGCAGCAACTACACAAAGCGCAGCTACAGTCTAGACCTTGAGTCCGGGGCGGTGGTCGTAACGAACGATCCTAACCTCAAGCAGAAGCTGGGTGAAGAGACGGAGCGGCTTCAGAAAGATGCCAGCCCTGTCTCGAGAGATGACCTAATGCGAACGGAAAGGCGAGTCGGATGGAATGTGAGGCTTTCCATGTGGATTGTAGAGAAGGTTGGCGGCGCCTTCTAATTCTCTTCTTGGTCATTTGTATAAATATCCTTTGAAAATAATAGCGAATCTGTAATATACTGGGATATAGATTGGTGATAGCTGGGGCTATCACACCATCCGAGAATATCATCTGAGTCATACACCATGAGTCCATCCCTCCTATTTCGATTACACCAAAATCATTCTAGAATAAACACAGTCTGCAATATCTCCATGTCTATTCAAGAAATTGTCTCAAAATCCTGGTTCGGCTTCGATCTTGATGACACGCTCCACGAATTCCGACGAGCCTCGGCCAATGCCTCAGTCCGCGTCTTTGAAACTATTCACGCCTCAAACCAGATCAGCATAGAGATCCTCAGAAGCACATACCAAGATATCCTACGCAGTGCAACCGCGAATGCCTTCACAGATGGCAGGACCTCAAGCGAATACCGGCGCGAACGGTTCGGGCGTCTTCTCCAAGCGCACGGGCTCATTGATGACGCTCTACTGGGTCATCTGTTAGAGGTATATCGAGACTCTCTACGCGAGAACTTGACTCTCAAGTCAGGCGCATTGCATCTTTTGCAGACTTTGCAAGGGCTGGGAAAGAAAGTCATTGTCATTACTGAGGGCCCGGCAGATGCGCAGGAGTGGACGGTCCAGGAACTCGGGATACGGTCTTACATCGATGTCCTTGTAACGACGAACAAAGTCGGCAAGTCTAAGGTAGATGGGCTGTTTGGTGTTGTGCTGGAGAAATATGGTATCGCCGCTGAAGATATTGTATACTTCGGCGATAATGGGATTCGCGATGTTCGGGCTGCGCGGGAGGAGGGGATCCTGGCTGTTCTTTATGATGAAAAAGAGCAGTCTTGGTTCTATGATGCTAGTGGATTACGAGTAAATTCGTGGGCTGTCATAGAAAAGGTACTCGTCCATGGAGAGTAAGGATATACAATAGAGCATCGAGACATAAACATAACTTTTGGTCTAGCCATCAAGAGATATCAACCCTAACGCACAGGAATGCCGTAATAAAATAAGTAATAAAAAGCCAAACGCCATGTCATGACTAGGGATTCCCGTCGTCTCATATGCAGTGCAAATCTTCATCTAAGCTCTTCCGGAGACTTTGCCCTTCTCGGCTCGGATTCGAGCTGGGCCGAGACCGGATCGCACCTCGTCGAGCATCCTGATGCCAATGGCCTCGTTACCGTTCCGGCCACGCTTGTGCTTGGCGCCGTGTCGCTTGGCCTGTCCACTGGTGTTGGGGTCCCAGCTGGAGAGGAAGTCATCCATGACGTTGTTGAAGGTGCTGCGGCTGTGCACAGCTTCACCGTTACCATCGATCAGACTGGGGGCCTGGGATGATGCGGTGGACATGCCCGTCATGCCAGTCGCACCTGTCATTCCGCTGATCATGGACATGCTGTCATCGTATTCGTCTTCCTCATCAAGAGAGTAGAGCTGCTCAACTTTGTCAAATCGGTCGTCAAGGAGACGGTGGCCGGCAGTACGAGCCAGAGCGGACGACGTCATCGAGTACGCAGACGGGTTGGTCAGAGCACCCTTGCGCTTCTTCCGGCGAATCGGCGTTCCGCCAGCAGTGAAGACGGTCGATGCCATGGTCTGTGATGCTGCGATTGTGGGTGCAGCCGGTGCGGGAGCATTGCCAGCCTTAGCATCTTTTTTAAACTTGGCAAACTCGTTCATCCAACTCTGGTCAGTGGGCTCCATATCGGGAGCCGGCTCATCGTGTTTAGGCATCTCGCCGGGTTCCATTGGTGGCTTCGCAGGCCCCTCTGTATCCATTGAACGATGGGCCTCGGTGCTGTCCGGCTGTACAGGCGCTTTCTCCGTAGCATCCGACTCCCATCCGTCATCTTCGACATCGTGGTCGAACAGAGAATCCTCCCATTCACCCTCGTCTAATTCCTCCGCATTGGCTGTTAATTCGCCAAAGATTCCGTCAGCGTCACCCTCCTCCACGAAGGCTTCGTCCTCCAGCGCCTCCAATGCCTCTCGCAGGCGCGGGTCCATGTCAGGCTTGAATCCAGCAATTGCGTCTGGGACGTTCTGCTGGTCCTGATAGGTTGGCTTGCGGACAAAGGACGAAGTAGTTGAGCGCATATCGCCATATTGAGAGCCATAAAGACTGGGAGCAGTGGAGGCGCCCTGGCCATATGTATCTTTATCCACGAGTGAGACCTGTCGCAGCGCATCTTCCAACTTCATTCCTCGACCAGCCCTGCCCTTGGCCTTCTCGTTCTTGGCTTCGACGAAGTACGCATCTCCAGTGCCGCTTCCCAGCTCGCGGAGATGTTGCATGTAATCGTAGCTGGAGTCATCGTAATAGACGCCGTAGTTGGCAGCCTCGCCCTCATTTTCGCGAGCACTGTCGCCATATTCGGTTCGTAGATCAGACAAATTTGGCAACTTCTTCGATGTGGTCGATGTGGTCGATGCGGGCGCGGGCGCGGGACCTCCGACCTGGTACAGGAAACGGTCATCCGCATTGGTGTCGTGGATCAACGGGTCATTTTGAGACCGGTGAAAGAGCTGGAACTTGCTCGCGTTCTTCTTGTCACTGGGGACATGTCAGCTTTGACACCATAATAATCCTCGCGCAATACGTACATCCACTGTTTGGGCGGCATCTTTGGTTTTGGTCAAAGTTTTGGTATCGCAGGAAAAAAAGGAAAAAGTGGGATTGATAGGGTCACGTGTAGCTTATCGCCCCTCGTTCTCCAGGGTCCTCAAAATCTTCCCACTGTACGGAGTATACGATATACGATGTGTAATGGAGGTCTCTATTCAAGTTCCACTCTATTTCGTTTAATTTTGATTTGACTCATTGTGCAACTTCGCTTGGAGAATTGGGTATTCATTGGGCTCGGCGTTTGAAGGAGGCCCGCATCAATAGTACTACTTAGTCACATATTGGACCATAAACCCTAGTCATAGATCGTATTGCGATCCATATATGGCTTTGAATATTGTATATCTCTGTCGCTTATACCCTTATAACATGAAACGATCAAAACCTGTAAAAAGTACACAACCATGACCATATATACTTTGCCTAGAGGGCTCTGGAGCAGCGGGCCTGGCGGATATAGAGGGGGCTTAGTCAGCGTTATCTTATCCGTCTGAATAATCCAAAATTCCCTTTTTCAGGTGGGGGTTGTGCCTCTCGACTTGATTTTTTTACTTCCTACAACTTTTTTCAATTTTAAGGAATCGAAAGTCATCGCCATCATGGTTTTGGCTAAATCCAAGAAATCCGTGGGACTGGGTGCCAGTCTCATGAACGATCGGTTCGGAAAGGGCAAAGCATCCGCTCAGAAGAAGATCTCTCACAACAATGCCATCCAGCGTACAGGTATCAATGGTGAAACATACGTCACCAACGAGGCAAAGGAGGCCTCGTGGGTCAAGATGCGCAGTATCACTGAGCAGGGAGCGCTCGACGAATTCCTGAGTACCGCCGAACTGGCCGGAACCGACTTTACCGCTGAAAAAATCAACAACGTCAAGATCATCCACTCCGATCAGAAGAACCCCTTCCTTCTCACCCCCACCGAAGAGAAGAAGGCTTTCATTAAGCACCAGAAGAACAAGGACCGCCTCACTGTTCCCCGACGACCCAAGTGGGACCAGTCCACAACCCGAAATGAACTAGAAACGATGGAGAAACAAAGTCTGTTGGACTGGCGACGAGGACTGGCCGAGCTGATTGAGAACCACGATCTGCTGATGACCCCATTCGAGCGCAACTTGGAGGTCTGGCGCCAGTTGTGGCGTGTTATTGAGCGGTCCGATCTTATTGTGCAGATTGTCGATGCGCGAAACCCGTTGCAGTTCCGTTCGGAGGATCTGGAGAGTTATGTCAAGGAGATTGATCCACGGAAGAAGAATTTGCTGTTGGTCAACAAGGCCGATATGTTGAGTCTGAAGCAAAGAGAAGCATGGGCTGCGTACTTTGAGAAGAACAACATCAACTTCCGTTTCTTCTCTGCTCACCTCGCCAAAGAGAAAAACGAGGCCCTCGCCTTGCAGGAGGAACAAGAAAATGACTCCGATGCTGAACTTGCTCAGTCGGCACAAAAGATCACCACAGAAGATGATGAATACAAGAAGGCGGAGATAGCGGAGGAAGAGAGGGCTAAGCTTGCCGATCCCGAGCGCTCGCTTGGGCCACACATTCTGGACACTGAAGAACTGGAAGAGCTGTTCCTGGCCAATTCCCCTGAATCACTACCGCAAGATGACGAGTCTGGCGAGACCAAGCGTAAGACCGTAATCGGTCTGGTCGGTTACCCCAACGTGGGTAAATCCAGTACCATCAACGCCCTTCTCGGTGCGAAGAAGGTCTCTGTTTCTGCCACGCCCGGTAAAACCAAGCATTTCCAGACTCTCTACCTCTCCCCCGAGATTATGCTTTGCGATTGTCCCGGTCTCGTGTTCCCCAACTTCGCCACCACCAAGGCCGAATTGGTCGTCAACGGTGTGCTACCCATCGATCAGCAGCGTGAGTTCACCGGTCCCGCCGGTATTGTCGCCAAGCGTATCCCCAAGCACTTCATTGAGCAGGTGTACGGTGTGAAGCTCAGAATGCGTCCCATCGAAGAGGGCGGCACTGGCGTCCCCACCGCTAGCGAGATTCTGCGTGCCTATGCTCGCGCCCGTGGATTCTCCACTCAGGGTATCGGTCAGCCCGATGAGTCTCGTGCTGCACGATACGTTCTGAAGGATTATGTCAACGGCAAGCTTCTCTGGGTCAACCCTCCCCCAGTTTCCGAGGACGAAACTCCAATCGACACCGTCGAGTTCAACAGCGACCTATACGATCTCGCCCATCTTCCCGAGAGACGCCGAGTTCAGCTCACACAAGCCAAGATTGGAAAGCACTCCGCAGCAACAGAGTCCGCTGGCGATGTCGACTTGGAGAACTCCTCTGAGGCAGCCAAGGTCTCTGTCGAGCCGGAGCTTGGTCGCACCTCCCGCAACCTTGATACAGGCTTTTTCGGCTCAGAAACCGGCCCTTCTGCCGGCCGTCTGACCCTCCCCTTCCAGTCTCGATACACGCAGCAGGGCCAGGAGATGCGCAAGGCGCCAACAGGTCGCAAGGAGCGCATGATGGTTGCTCTTGAGCGTGGCGTGGATGTCTCTGAGGTGAAGGGCAACAGCAACTCGAAGAAGCACTTCAAGGCAAACAAGCGCCTGGCCAAGGGCAAGCGTAACAACCCTGAGGATGACGACTACTAAAAAGTGATTTTCCCTATATATTTTCCTTTGTTGCATTGTTGCCTGCGCTCGCGGGCGAGTCGGGAGAGATCGTACCGCTCTCCCTCTACTCTACGAGGTATCATTCTTAGGCTCATGGGTCTTGGGGTGAATGAATTGATAAATGGTCCTACATATGGGATTTTCATGTCATGTCGGGATTGAATGTTTATGTCCATGTTCATGCTCATGTTTGTTGAGGAATCATCTTTTTGGCGTTAGGTTTTTACGAGTTGAATAACGATTTATACCAGTCATTCATTCACTTGATTCTATATCACTTCTCTTTTACCGTAAGACCATCAAGTCCAATATAGAGACGTTAATACCAAAATCCAAGTAAAAACGGAGCAATGTTCATGCATTTTTATTTAGCCGAACCAAGCAGCAGACAATATCTTAAAACTCTCATCTCTCTACCATCTCAAAGATGGCTCTTAGGCTTGAACCCAGAAGCAGTAAGCAGGCGATCAGCCTCCTCACGCTGCCAGTTCAACTTAGCAGTAACTGCATCCTTGCGAGACTTGTTCTCGCGCTTACCCAGCTGCTGCAAGTGAACCTCATCAGGGCCATCCGCAATACGAAGAGTACGAATACCAGCCCATAAATACGCAAGCGGGGTATCCTGACAAACACCGGCAGCACCATAAGCCTGAACGGCACGATCAATGATAGTAAGCGCAGTCTGAGGAACCAGAACCTTAGCCTGAGCGATCTCCTTCAGCGCACTCTTAGCATCACCCTGATCGATCTTGATAGCAGCGTTCAAGACAACAAAACGGGCCGCATCGACCTCAATCCGCGACTTGGCAATCCACTCAAGGATGACGCCGTGCGCAACTAAAGGCTTGCCGAAGGTCATCTTGCGCTCGTCGTTGACGCGAGCAATCAGCCACTCCAGAGCGCGCTCGGCCGCACCAATCGCACGCATGGCGTGGTGGATACGACCGGGTCCGAGACGGCCCTGGATGATCTCGAAGCCGCGGCCCTCGCCGAGGACCATGTTTGCTGCGGGGACACGCACGTCCTTGAATGTGATGTGGCCGTGGCCGTGGGGGGCATCGTCATACCCGTATACTGTCAACATGCGGTGCACTGTGATGCCTGGGAGTCCGGCTGGGACGAGTATGACGGATTGCTGCTTGTAGGTGTCTGGGTTTGTGGGGTCGGTCTTGCCCATTACCAGGTAGACTGCGCAGCGGGGGTCGCCGGCGCCGGAGGACCACCATTTCTGTAGATTGGTTGTTAGGGGTTGTTTACAATAACAAGTGGTTTTGTGGGGATGCGAGAGGTACATACCGAGCCATTTAGGACGTATTCGTTGCCTTCGCGGCGGATGTTAAGCTCAATATTTGTCGCATCGCTAGATGCGACATCTGGCTCGGTCATCAGGAAAGCAGAGCGGATCTTGCCCTCCAGCAAGGGTGCAAGCCACTGCTTCTTTTGTGCGTCATTACCGTACTTGGCGAACACCTCCATGTTGCCGGTATCTGGGGCGGCATTGTTGGTGGCCTGGTGATAAGCATGATAGTCAGCCATCAATCACATAAATTCGTAGGAACTCTCCCCAGCGGGTAAAGTAATTCGCCAGATAAAGAATAGAATAACCCACCTCCGAGGCAACCTTGCTCTTACCGAGCAACTCGGCCATCAATCCATATTCCAAGTTTGAGAATCCAGCGCCCTGAGTAAAGTGGTTCTTAGGCAGGAACATGTTCCAGAGACCGAGCTTCTTGGCCTTCTCCTTCAGGCCCTCCAAGACGGCGGGGGTGGTGGTCCATCGCTTCTCGCCTTCGCCGAGCTGGGCTGCGAAGACGGTATCGGCGGGGATGCAGTCTTTTTCAACGAATTCCTCGACCTGGAGATATGTTAGCACTGAATATAACATAAAAAGAAACGAAGGAGGCGCTTGGTGGTTCCTGTTCTGGGGTAAGGTATTGGGAATGATTTACCAAGTCAAGGGTCCGCCTGGCCTGTTCGCTAACGAACGGCTGGGCAATGGGTGGAATACGGGACGATGCGGACATTTTGGATGTGAAGAATGATTAATGTGAATATCAGAATATACGGGGAATACCACCGAATATAAAGAGACGAGGTCAGCCCATCCCAGAATTGCGGAGAAGGTGGAGAAGCCGACGGATTTTGACCAGGTGCCTCGGCTCCCGAGGTCAACGACTAACCGGAGAACTTGAAGATGTCCTCTTTCACGACACATTTCAAATCGGCCACATCTCCGAAACCTGCCTTGACAGTTATGGAAACTATATGTACCAATATTGTTGCCACTCATTGTTTGATATCACTTTCTATAACTGGCGAGATGTAGCTAAAAGCTGGTCATGCCAAGATATTACAAGAAAAAGCAAAG